TTTCAAAAACATTTCCCCTGCTGGACATAGAGAATAGGTATTAACAGAGGAGAGGTCTATAATACTTGACACACAGCAGTCAGAAAAAAAATGTGGTCTCTCTTGTTCTTTTTCTTATTCTCTCATCTCTCTGCCTCAATAGAATTGATTGGATATGACGTGCTGTAATTTGTTTTTACAATGAATAATGTTCCAGTTTATCCTCAGGGACAGTTGGGTGAGTAATCTCACACCGACCTTGACACTCTGATGTTTTAAAATGCAGATCAAGTTGGTTGTTTTAAGCGGAGAGATCATTTAATTTGGTTTTATTTCTAGTCAGAGGGGGCTAATAAGGAAATGTTTGTTAGCCTCCTGCCTGCGTGATAACATTTTTCCCCATATAAAAACTTTTTTTAACTAGTTATAGTATTTGATTTACAGGCTCATCAGAGAACTAGATAGATGTTATTAACTTCAGTGCTAACTCTTGGGCTCTCCTCTGTCTTTTACCAGTTTGCAGAGATTGGGTTTTGGTCATCAATCCATGTTTTAGCATGTAATTCTAATGAGGTGTGATTGACACTGTTCAAATAAACCGGCGTCATTAAGCTGCTGTTCCAAAGGTTGTGCAACTTTGAGTGAATGCATTTAGCTTACAGGTTAAATAAAATCAGATTCCATATACACTGGGTGTAGATTTATTTATTTATTTTGTTTGCAGAGGATGATAGCCAATTCTAGAATGTAATAATCACTGTGATTTGAAACATTGACTATATGGTAACAAAAAGTATTAAAAGAAGAAGCTATTGTAGGATAGCAAGGAGGCAGCAACCACTTGAACCTTCAAAAAAGATTGCTCATCCTGCTGGCCTGTTAGAACTGAAGCTGATCATTTTATGTTTGGTATTTGCACTGCATTAAAGGTAAAGAGGTCCTGAGTCACTCCGCAGAATTCAGGCATGGACAAATGTGAATCACCTCTGACTAACTACCTGCAAGCAAGAAGCTGAAATTGGTCAGCAGTTGAGGGGGAAGCTGTGTGTGTGCCTTCCTTCTGTCGTGGCACACAGGCAAACCTCCAAGCATGTCATTGTTAGTTTGCCTCTGTATGTATTAATAACTGATTTCTTTTCAGGGGCAACTTCATATGAAAGCTGAAGGAAATGAGATTCCTGGTGGGCTCTGGATCAGGCCCACAGCAAAGAGTGAATGTGTATGAATACTTTATCTGTTTTAGGAGGTTTAAGATCTCTGCCATCCTAAGTTATGAGCAGCTGTGTAGGGAGGGAGTCATAAAAATTTCATGTGAAACAATTGTTTTAAGAACATTTGTAGGTAGCATTAATGCAAACGGCGTAGTTTCTTCTGAGCAATAAGAATGGAAAGATACCTGCAGTGCTTGAATTAAAAGGTCCCTGATTAAAAACCAGTGGATCCCTTTGAAATTAGTTGGAACTGCTTTCATTAAGCAAAAATGAGAATTTAGCTTGTATATGAAACAAAAAAAAAAATCTAAAGTCTCCACTTCAGGTTTTTATCAGTTATTTTGGAGACACAGCAGAGCAGAGTTTCTGGCGTTAACTGTTCTCCTTCCCTCTCTTCAGTGAGGCAAGAGCAAGGAAAGAGCGTTCAGTTAAGGTAACATCTCTTCTGAGCTGTCAGTCAGTAACAGCCTTTTTCTTGTGTTCAGGTAGTAGCGGGAGGCTGCCTGTGACGGAGCCAGTCGCCCAGCGGTTGAGTAGATGGGGGTGGTTTGCCTTGTGTTCCCAGGAAACAGAGAAACCAGGAATGGCCACACGATGATGTGGTTCAGCAGTGGGGTCTGCTCCAAAGGCGCATCCTGCAGTGGCCGTGCTGCGTGAAGGCTGGGTCTCGTGGGATTGTGGCTCTGGGCCTCCTTTCGCGGGGGGCTGCTGTGGCCGGTCACACAGCACGCAGAGATGTCAGCACCCCTGGGCTGGGATTGCTGCACAGGTCCTGCACAGTGCTGGTGTTGGATGTGCCCAACTCCAGGGAATGAAAGGTCTCGTGTGTGGTGCGTATCCATCACGGAGCCCTTCACGGCTCCTGCAGTAAACCTCTGCTGATGTTGTGTGGGTTCTGTGGTGTTCGACACGTAACTGAAAATAATGTATTTCTGTAACTGTGAGACTTGTTTTCACATTCCTGAGTAACTGTCTGTCTGCAGTACATCAGCCCTCTGTTCTCCACGTTGTGGTTTGTGTTGTTTCTCAGCTCTTCCACGAGCCATCTCTCCACGTGCCAACCAGAATCTCAACCCTGCCTTAAAGTCCAAGTTGTTGGTTGGTTGGTTTGTTTGTTTTTTAATTTTTTCTATTTCATAAGCATTTTGGCTAATAAATTTTTCTATAAACTAGATCTGTATGCTCTCACACTTTCATACACATTGGTTTGATTAATTCTTTTGCTTCTGGATACAGGCAACCCAGTTGGTCTTTAGTTGCCTCTGAGCCTTGCACCGACCGCCACTGTTTTGGTGAGCAGTGATGCTATATGACAACCTGACATAGCTGGCTTGTGGCTACCCAGAGGCCTGTAAGAGCCATCAGTCCAGTTTGAGTGTCTGTGACTCCTAGATGTGGCAGGAACTCTCCTTTCCAGTGTAATAGGGTTATATTTGAATTTCTTCATATCTAAATGAATTGCCTTGTCTTCTGTCTGATGGCAAATTTCATGTTTCATTTACTGTAAACTCTTCCTTTCTCCAATATATGCCAGTCTTCAGCATACAATAAATTTTCCTCATTATTTCAAAAGAGGCGTTATCAATAAAAAGAAAATTAAAATGTGTCATGATGATTTGGAGAGAAAATAAATACACTGACACTAAGCTTTCATCCCAATTAGACCTTGACAGTAAGAAGTAGTGGGGGAAAAAATTTTAAAAGAGTTTCAGAGAATGTGAAACAACGGTGTGTTTGTGTGGTTTTGTTTTGTTTTGTTTTAAATACCACTTCTCCTTTATCAAGTTTTTCCTTTCATGGGGAGTATAGTGAAATTTCTTTTTGGGGAGGGATTGTTTCTCATGATATTTTTGTCTTGTAATGCTTCTTGGTTACAGCTCATGCAGTGGCAGTCAGACTGAATTTCTGAGTCCTGTGACTCTCTGGACTTTAACCCAGTGGATTTCACCTTCGTTGGCTTCTAATGTATAATATTTACTGATTCCTGATTCCTAGAGCTGCCTTTGCATACATGTTTTGAACAGCTGACTCCAATCTCATGTCCATTACTCTTGAGAGGGGGAAAAAAATGCTTTCCTCCTTGCTGCCCTCCATTGGGTGTGAGATCCTTAACTCTAGCAACAGCCCAAGGGAAGGAAGTGGTTGGCACTGGCAGTAGATAATGAGAGCAGGTGACAAAATGCTCATAGCTGTTAGTGGCTGTGAATGTATAATGTGGCATGTGCTGACCTGATCTCTCCTTCTGTTTTTGTGTAAACATATGCAAACAGATATCCTTAATAGTAAGGAAAAACCTCTACCAGGCATAACTTAATTTTTGTATCATCTTTATATTAGTACACCAATTACAAAAGCAAATAGACTATGCCTACCAAAACCATTATCAGCTACCATTTAGCATACTCATTAGAAATGGCTTATTAGAATATGAATGTCTATATTATTTCTTAAAACATCATTCTTCACTCAGAGTACCTACTACTAGTCTACCACTGACAATTATCAAACAAATTACCAGTTGTCAATTAATTTGCAAATAGCCTACTGTGTTGTTATAATTTAAATAAGCTTTAATATTGTCCTATTGAACAGAAATGCTGAGTTCTACCAAGTTCCACGTTGCCGTAATGAGGGAGCTGACAACCCGATGAGGTTGCAGCAGGCAAGACTGGGTTTGAGCGAAAGCTGTGATTGAGATGTATTTTTGATACCCATGTGTAGAACTGAATCCTCCTAACTTGTCTTTGCATACCTTAAACTCTGTCTGTTTCTGAACGTTGCCTTGGTAGACGCTAACCTTGGCTGAGGGATTGACCCAGCACTGCTTTTTGAGGGGTGGGGTAGCTTTATAACACAAAATAGGTCAGTTTAATGGGTCAGAAATGTGATTAGTAAGAAACTTAATTTGCAAAGCAGCCGACATTGTTACTGTAGCTATGCTCGGATACAGGAGCACCTCCAGGTTGCTTATGTACAGCTGTAAAAGTTGTTAGGCTTCCCCAATACTCCAGACACCAGAGAGGTTTTCTCTGGATACACTGTGGTTGAGTGATCCTTCCCCTTTGTACTTTTATTTTGGTGCTTCAGTCTGATGTAATTTTATTATGGGCTGTTTCATCCTACCTGATTTTACAAGATCAAGTTGCTAACTGCTTCAGAAAGACGTTTTATTTATTGCTGGTTTTGTTATTTGAACATGTAGATAGAAGGAATAAAAAGGGTACACAGGTAGTTCAGGCAAAGATTCACGGCTTCATTTTGCAGCACAGATGTTTGTATAAGCATTTACATTTTGGGGAGCTTGTGTTAGCATACCTGTTCTGAGGTTTCTCTGTCTCTGGGTCTGCATGATCTCAGAAAAGAAAAAGCACATTTACTCTGTGTGCCTTATTTTCCCTGTGAATTTTCTAGCTGAGCCCTAACACTTCCAAAATTTCTGCACCTTAAAATCTAATATTTCAGTGAGATGGAATTTACGCATGCTATAAAATCCATGCAAAGGTGGCAGCAACTATTTCACACTGCTGAATGGTTAGCAGTTCTCCTGGAGTATGCTCCGTCTGATCCTGTTGCTGCAGCCGTGTCCTCCCAAGCCGCTCCTGGCCCTAAGGACCAGCAGCTGGAACAGTGTCTGCTGCAGGCAGGGAGTGGGCAAAGCCCTCCTGCAGGGATGCTGTGGCTTTCCCCTCCAGCCAGGAGAGCAATCGGTGGAGAAGAAAGGTTGCACCCAGCCTCTGGCTGCTCTGCACACCTTGCCCCGCAAGCAGGCTCTCCTCCCGTTAACCCTGTGGCTCGTTTTGCTTCTGGCAGTGCTGCATGGGCAGGTGTACCGCTTTTGCACCCCAGAGGGGACGTGGCTACTGAAGGAGAATTCAACGCTGCCCTGGAGGAACCTGTCTGAGTGTGAGGCCTCTGACCAGGTAAGAGTTTCCATCTCTTACTGCTGTTGTTGTTTAACTGAAGAGAGGAAAAATATAGTCACAGGTGCCCACGCGTTTTTTGTCCTGTCAAAGTAATCTTTACCGACTCATCCTGGGTGCCTCACTTCAGTGAGCCTAACGGTAAGGGATGTCAGGCCTCTCCCCTTCAGCAAAGGGAACACGAAGGGTAGATGAGAGCAGGTTTAAATGTACATGAGAGAGGCAAGAGGAGTGAAGCAGATCGTCCCAGCTGCAGTGCAGTGCAGGGGGCTCAACTGCAGCCCACCCGAGCCAGAGGAGTGACCTAATGTTATTCCTTTGCCTTTTCCTCCATTGGCATGTCATTAGAATAAAGTGACCGTTTGTTCTCTCTGTGGTGTTAGTGGCTATTAAGGTAATTAAGATGAACTGAACTGAAGAATATTTGCTCTTCACCTTTGGGCAGGGGGCAGTCCCTGCTTTTTGTTTGTGGGTTTGTTTTGTTTTTTTTTTTTTTGTCTTTTTATCTTAATTTGCTGTGGGCAATGGAATTAGGCTTGTCAGTGTTATTTTCTTGCCCCAGTGCTTTATACTCTGCAGGGAGCTGAGACACCTGGCACCCAATGAAGGAGAGCATTGGGATTTACAGGTGATTTTTGTCAGCCACTGGCGTCAGCTAGCTCACCATGTGCGTCCCCATGACACATGATACCATTACTGCTGTGAGCCTCCAAGGGTGATGCTTTTCTTCACATAAATTGAGTGCACTCTCTCTGTTCCGGGGTACTGGGAACTAGTGCATACCTAGCCATAGCAGTTCAAGTATATGAAATTCCTAAGTGCTGCAGGATCTGTGTCCTCTGGAGTTCCTGTTGCTCAGTGCCTTGTTCTTCAGAAGGAACAAATGGCTGCAGACTAGAAGGAGACCGGAAAAGAATTTCTAATTCTCAAAATACATTGTTTCACTTTTTTCCTTTAATTTGCAGCCTTATCCCTTGTTCCCTACATGTTCTGGGGTATCCCATCAGAGCGCGTTATCTTAACGCAAAGTGTAAGCCTGGTTGTTTGATTTTTCTATGTTTGCCATTGTTTCTTCCAAATCTGTGTTTGGGACATGATAAGGAAAGAGATACTTAATGGTGACACTTGGTCATTTGGCACCTGCCTCCAAGTTTCCATGAACTGATCTGGGTTCTGAAACACTGTGTACATGGTGTCACTCCCTGCAATGTGAACAGCCATGTTTGGTTTTCCAGCTAATGTATTTAGAGTCCTCTAATAACCTACTTTTTTTGTGCATCTTTTACATGAGAACAATAGCTTTTTTTGGCATGTTTGCTGTCTAATATGTTGCAGTTTTTGCTAAAACAAAATCCAAATGCTTTGTGAGTGAATCCTTATACCATTGTTTACTTTAAGTGTGTGATGTGGTTTTGATCTATGTAGATGTTTTAAATTGTCAGGTCTCAATAGTTTGCCTGAGCTTTGATACCGAAGAGATAATACTTTTCTCTTTGCAAGGAAGCTCTCGTATCATACCCTTTAAAACATTTAACCTAGCAAATCCCTGAGGATCAGCCTGTATGTTCGTCTTAAATCCTCCTGGCTGTGCAAAGTACATCTGAATAGCTGTACTTACTTCTGAAGTACAATGAATCTATTCCTTTGTACAGCACAGGTCTCGGGAGTCTGTTGCAGAATTAGCAGCTTGAAGAAGGGAAGTAAAATACCTGAGTCTATTTAGACAAAGGAACGTGCTTAGAAATGAACTAGAACGAAGAATAACAAAGTGCCTCAGAGGCTGAGCAATAAGCCTGTGTCGTAATTCAGACCTGCCTGTAGCTTTTCAAATACTTGTCCGTAAAGATTTTGTCCAGCACTTTCAAGCAAGGATCTCAGTGGTCATGTCTTCAACAATGAATCTGAAGAGAGCTACAGCCCCAGACGGTCAGGGGGGTGCGAGCATCCCCGCTGCTCTGGCCCGTGTTGGGTTGCTGCCTCCCAGCCAGTGCTGCAGCCCCTGGGCCATGAGGTGGTGTTGGGCTGTGGCTTGTTACCAGGAGGCTGCATAGTTGAGGCAGAAGAGATACTAATTGGGGGCAGAAAAGAGTACAGTTGTACGAATGCAAGACATGCTTTGCCTCAGAGTCAACGAATAGGACCTGGCTTCTTCTATTTTTAAGTATAGATGTAGTCAAAGGACCCCCCTCATTACACAGCAAGGAGGCTTCCTTTAAGTGTTCAAGCCTGAAAACATCAGCTTTGCCTTTTTTACTGCAGGGTCGAGTTGTGACTATGTTTCCTGCCATCTGTTTAAGACTTGCTTGTGTGATAATTCATGACTCTCCAACTTTATTATGAAATAATGGCACATTATCTATTTTCTAGCCTGGCTGCAAAACCCGACTGTTTGAGTGAACACCTGGGAGCAGCTGGGGAATTAAGATTAAATTTTTATTTCTTTAGAACATACGGAAAATGGAAGACTGATTTGATATGTGCATTTAAACTTGACAGTAGGAGAATGACTTCTGGTTATCTTAAGAAAAGTTAGAAAGCAGCTGGGAGAAAAGAACTGAAGCCCATGAGCTCTGTCTTTTCCCCCCTCCTTTTTTTTTTTTTTTTTTCTTTTCTCCTTTGTATGCTCTCAGGATGCACCAGAAGAACAGCTCCTGAATTTGTCCATCATATACACCATCGGATATGCTCTTTCCTTCTCTGCCCTTGTAATAGCAACTGCCATTCTTCTTGGATTCAGGTAACTGGTGAAGCTCTGAAGAGAGTGGAGAAAAGGTGTTATGTTTTTCTATATGATAGTATCAGACTTTGAGAGAAACATTTGATTCTGGTTTTTCCCTTCTTCCATCACCTCATTATTTCTCTATCTTATGTCAGTTCTGTGTTCCTTCCTACAATCATTTCTTCTCAAAATGCAAGTAAAATTTCTAAATTTTTGCAGTGTTAGCTGTATGAATATGTGGAGCATACTTTTTATCTGTTGAAATATTTTGTTGTGATATTTTTTATTTCGATGAAATCTCCACTGGAAGAGATGGAAGAAGAGAGAGATTCCAGCATTCCCTCATGGTGTTGCCTCGCAGATGAGGTACTAGTCTGGGGTGTGAGAGGATATTTAGGGAGAGAAGTTTTCATCTTGCCTTGCTTGGATTTACATAGAGCATAAAGCTCAGCCTGGTCTATATACCAGCCCTTACGTTCCAGGTATATTTCAATGCAGAAATGAATTTTTGACACCATTTATCTTTTAGAGAACTTTAGGAAATTCTTATTTCTTTGGCAATATAGAAGAGCACCTAATTTTGAAACTTTCTGTGAAATAAATTGCTGTCACCTGGTCGGATTGGTGTATTGGTTTCATACAGATATGCACCAACAAATTGCGCAGAGTGCATCAAAATTAAGAGACTATTGGTTGTACATGCCAATGATACACTGTGTAGGCTTTTTTTTTTTTTTAAAAAAAAGGGGGGGAAAAAAAACAACCAAAAAAAAAAAAACCACAACCACAACAAAACAACTTTATACTCCTACAGAGATAATTTTTTTTTTCTCCCCTCTGTAAGTCCAAGAGGTGTCTTGATTCCAGACAGACTCTCTGGGAGTTTGGGGGTGCTGAGCACAGGAGAATGATGTATAGAAAAAACAAAATATGATCCTGTTCTGTTGTGGGAAGGCAGTCCCTCTGCTATGAAGTCCTGCTCCCTGCTGCTGCATATAGCCAGGCTGCATCATCCATCTTACATGCTGATGAGGCTTGCCTCCTAAAAATGCATAGTTTTCCATCTCCTGGTACTCTTACTGGAAGTTAGGTCAGTAACCTTCAGTGCTCTGATCCTTAAGAAACCTTCTTCCCTGATGAAAGAATTATTATTGCCAGTTAATGATCCTTTGTTCTGGTGCCAGCGCTCCCTGTTAGCAAGGCAGTCCCTCTCCTTTCCTCCTTCCTAAGTGTTTATACCCCTTATATATTTGGAAAGATTAGTCATGCCTTTTAGCTTCTAATTTCAAAACTAAAATGACACAAGCCTTCTAAGATTGTACCACACCTTTTAGCATTGTATTACCCCTCCTCCTTCCAGTGGGGAAGCATAGGCTAGCAACCTTAAAGAAGATTTAAAATGACTACAGAAATGCAGAGGTATGCTCTGTAAATGCCATGTGATAATTATGATTTGTACGTGTTGTACTTGTGCAACTTTGGGACTCATCTGACAAAACACCAGATGGTCTTGGACTCTCCAAATGTCTCCCAAGATAAGTGCTTTCTCCTTGTTTCACCCATCAATGACACTTTTTGAGTAATATTAGCAGCCCAAATGTAAAGGTCACAGAGCGCAACCATATACTTTTTTTTGAAGGAAGGAAGGAAGAATGCACATGGTTTTTGGCAGGGAGCAAAAGAGCAAGTTTGTCACCAAGAACACGTAGGAGAGAGAGAATTTTGATGCCCAAACTTTTTGTGAGGAGATGCTTTAGCATTTTTTTCCTTTGACTGTGAAGCAGAGACTGGAGAAATGCACACAAGTGTGTGCTTCTGATTTTGAAAATGAGGTTTCAGAGATGTTAAAGAGGCTGAGAGCCTTGTTAAAATTACTCCATCAGTCCATTTAGTGCTTTCCTGTCTAAATTGTCTATCTGGAGACAGCTTAATCCTGGATCTCATGAAAATACATGAGACCTACCCCTACATGGATTGCAGTTGCTGGATTCTGACTGTGACCACTACCCATGGCCTCTCCCCAGTAGCTGTGCAACCTCAACAAATGGGGATCAAAACCTAATTCAGTGGCAGCAAAATACTGATGTTCCCCACTTTTGTAGTAGGAAGGCCTTTTAAAGTTCTTAGACTAGAGAATAACCTTTATGTTTGCATTTAAAAATGATACAACAGAGGAAACAATATATCTCTAGTATCCAATTTTGCATCCTCTGAAAGAAATGGAAGGAAAGTATGTAATTTCAGTGATGGAAGTTGAAATAGGCCCATAACTTCATGACTGAAACAATTTGAATAACTTGCATTGCCTGTAGCAGAAACGCTTAGTAACTACTTGCAACCTATTTTCTTCAATTGTCTGATTTACATAATTTTTTCACTCAGATTTAAATGTGTAGCAGTTCTGAAGGGTATTGACAAATACATTTTGAGTTAAAGGAAAATAAATATTAATCATACGTAAATTTTGAAATAAGCTGTGACTTAAGTGCTGCAAAAAATTCTATTTGACCTATGAAAAAAAAGTTCTCCTTCATCTTCAGCACGAAACCTAACTTTCAGACCAAATCTATTTTTCTATCCAAATTTATAGAGCAGTAAAACTAGACATTTGGAGCGTAAGTTTACTGAAACTCTTGCTGGAACAATTGCTGTTTATCGTATGTTACTTTGATCCTTTTTCGATGCTAAAAGATACTAGCCAGTGCAACTTCCTTTGAAGCAATGTGTGTACCCTTGCAGTGCTGGAAAAAAAATATTTGTGGATAAGGCTGGTAGAACATTGGCAGCACTCTGCATTTGGTTGCCATTTACATGACTGCAGTTTCTTTTGCTATCCCTTAACATGCTTTTTTTTGACAAGTAGAAATTTTATTGCCTTTGCAGCTGGCTGCTGAAATTCAAGAGGATTTTATTTCTTTGTTTTGTTGTTTTCAATTCGGAATGCAGAGGTGAAAATGCTGTTCCTTTTAGTTCTACAGAAAGTATTTACAATTCCCCCAGGAGGCAATCTGAATACAGATTTTTCTCTTGTTGTCAAAGCAGTAATTTACAGGTGGATATTTTTTCATTGTGGGTTTGAGCACAGCCAGAAGCCGTACTGCACACCAGTTCCTGAGCCCTACCAAGGTAAACCTGTGCAGTGACGTTGAGGTCAACTCAAAGAAATTAGATTCAGCATTATGTGAAACTTGAATTTTTTTAGTCCTTTCAAATATGTCTTCTGAAAATTACTTTACTTTATTTATACACTTTTTAAACTTTTAAAATATTTTTTTTTTCGTTACGCACTGATCTCCTTCCTTCCCCCAAATTTTCATGCTGAGGGCTGAAGTTTTTAATGTCTTTTCCTTGATAGTGATTCTCTTCCCAAAGACAGTTTGAAATCCCTATAGCCGTTCTCAAGTTAAGGGACTTGCTGTCTGGTACCTCTTGATTTCCAACAGGGTTCTTTTTTCCCCTCCCTCAGTCCTATGCGTGATATTGCAGCTTTCACATAGAACCAGTCATGACCCACTATCTTCCTTTTTACAGACATCTACATTGCACGAGGAATTATATTCACCTGAACCTCTTCACCTCTTTTATCCTCCGGGCTATATCAGTCTTCATTAAAGACTCAGTGGTGAAATGGATGTACAGCACAGCCACACAAGAGCACCAGTGGGAAGGGCTTATCTCCTTCCAGGTAAGGGCAGATACCGTGGTGGTTCTCAGGATACTGGAGTCATCACTGTGGTCTGTCTGCGTGACAGCAGGTAATTTCATTTTGTACCATGAGGGTTGTACAAAATGCTGTTCTTCAGTCCATGGAGTTTCTGTGAAACTTATCGCACAATGTAGGCGGTTGTGGTTGTGCCACCCTGGGTTTGGTACAGGCAAGTAGTTGATGCTGTGGCGTGTTTCTCTGCCTGTGGGGAGTTTGCCCCTACTAGACAGAGGAAACACAGAAAGGTGGATTTTTTAATATACATACAAATGCCCATATCTTCTTCCCATGCTGCAGGTTCATTTCTTCTGGCAGTGGCAAGAGGGCATTAATTTCCTTAAGCCAGCACCTTTTGTGATAGGACTGTCCATCTTGTATAATGACCAAATTAGTTGGTCATTCTTGGAGATCTTTATAATCTGTTGATGATGGAAAAAAAAGGGCAGTATCTGGTTAAAATGCAAATTTAAAAACATTTAGAAAAGCTTTGGAGGAACAAGCTAATTAAATACTTCTAATTGAAGAGAGAGGATATACAACTCTTTTGTGAATATGATGAAAGCATGCCTTTCCCCCTTCAGATTTGGAATAGAAAATGTACTTTAATCTTCAAAGAAAGGGATTTTCATTATTTGTATAGCTCTTGCGATTGTAGAACATGGGTACAGCGTTTGCTGCTGCAGTACAGGGTTGGGGTGGTAAAGGGTATGTCCTCTGGTGCATACTTAGTACCATCCTTTTCTGACACTCTGCATAAGGCTTAGGTGCTAATACCACATAATTAATCTCATACAATTGTTGATTTCTTCTCATCTGCAGTGTATCAACTGGCAGAAAATAACATTGTGATATGTATCTTAAACAGCTTGGAAATGTTCACATTGGATCGTCGGTTGTTTTCTTCTCCCAAAAAAACTTAAGCTTTATGCTTTCACACATGGTTTATCCAATAGTGGTTTCTTCAGCTTTGGAAAATAGTCAACATTATGGCATCCAATCTTTGCTCTTTAACAGAGGAAATTCTCAGCTGCAGAATAGAACAACTGGGGAAGTGAAAAGATTTACTGACTGCAGTTGATACAGTACCTTTCACTTGCTCTTCTTTTCATCTTTGTGTTGTGCTTTCCAAATTATCATTGTTTATTGAGGGAAAATGCAGAACATGTAATTTTTAAATGTTGTAAAGGAGGCATGTTGAAAGCATCTATTTGCTGTGTATAGCACCTCTTAACTGGCTTCTGTCCCTTCAGTACTCAGATGTGATTACTTTAGCAAGCGTTTTGAGGAACAAGAGTTAGGAGAGAGAATCAGTCTTTTGGGTTAGTATCCTTTTATTCTCAACCCCCTTTTGCACTCATTTGGGCTGTGCTTTCTTCTGTCACAGGAATCACTCAGCTGCCGCTTGGTCTTTGTGATGATGCAGTATTGTGTGGCTGCAAACTACTACTGGTTGCTGGTGGAAGGCATGTACCTGTACACGCTGCTGGTACTTTCAGTCTTTTCTGAGCAGAGGATTTTTCGTCTTTATCTCTGCATTGGCTGGGGTAAGTTGATCTTTCCGTATGTCTGCTTGTGGCTGCTTGCACCAGCAGATGGTGTAATAGAAAAAATATCATGTGTCTATCATAGTGCTGCCAAGTTCAAGTCCTGCACTCTCCATTCCCTTTTTGTTCCAAATCCCTTCCCTTGTTTCTGCTGGAGGGTGCTGGGCCAGCACAGCTCCAGGATGCTCGCGGCACAGGGGCTGTGGCTTCATCACGCAGGGGCTGTGCGACACTGCAGAAACTCCCCAGACCAGTGGCAGGCACATGGTGCTTTTCCTGCAAGACATCGGCTTCCTAACACAAAATACACACGGGTGATTCCAGGTGAGCATGGACTTCCCTGGACTGCCCTGCTTCATCTCCTAAAAGTTTCCCCTTGCATTCAAAGATGTGTTAACTACTTGTGGTGCAAAGTAGCGATGACACCTTGTAGCTGGTCAAGGATATCAGTAGAGAAATGTTGGTAGCAAGAGCTGGGGGCAGTGCAAAGGGGCTGATGGACAAGGGGCTGCTAGCAGGGAGCTGCCAGGTAGGTTATGTGGGCAGAGCAAGCCGAGTAATGACCGTCGGGCAAGTGAGTGGTCAGGGTGCATGTGCCGTGCACCTGTCTGTGCTTGGGATTAAGGACCGTGATGCCTTGAAATCAGTTGGCTGAGACAGTTGCCTTCTGTAGAAAAGCTTTTCTCCCTCTCCACATTAAGTGGAAATCAGGCAGCTTTGGGAAATCTGAAAGTAAATCCAAATAAATACTGCAAGTGCTTTCACAGATACTAGTCTGAACATTTAAATTGCTTTGACTGTCCTCTCTCTGTGGATTTGCCAACTGAATATTCTATCAAATTAGTGCACTGGTAAAATGCATGTAAATGTCTTACTGCGAATTATCCAATTATACTGAACAGTAATATATGAGGAGCAAAGGCTTTCCGGCATATTGATGTGAATAAATAAATACATATAATAGCAGTTCCCTACTGAAGAGTTTTAATTAAAAACTTCTGTATCTCCCATTATTATTTTGTATACTATGTGCAGTAAAAGCAACAGCATCTTGTATAGCATTTGAACTATGTATGTTTTATGAATAGCCATACCCTCAGTTTAAGAAAAAAAAAAAAAATAGGGGAGCTATCCTGAAGCACTGACCGAGCTCATGAGAGGAAATAGAAAAGAAATTAGAGCAAAATTGTATCTAGCCAAATCCTGAGGGTATAGCGTTGTTTTATAAGTAAGAGTTAGGATGATTTTAATCTGAATCATTTCTAGTTAGAGTTTCTATTACAAAAGCAGAAGGCAGAAACAGAAGATACTACTTTGTTTCTGTCCTCCTTTTACAATGGAAGTTTCGCTACTATATATTGAATTTCTGGATGAGTTTGTGGAAATGAGTGGCAATACCAGAACTTGGCACTGGATATATGGGTTTCATCCAAGCTTCCCAGAAAAGCTCTGCCTCTGCCATTCAGTCCTCATCTGTACAGTTTCTTGCTATTCCAGCCATGGCTGCATGTGCAAACCTTGCCAATGATTCCGTGTCTTCAAATGCAGAAGCATCTCCTGTTTCAGTGCTCCCAAATTCGTTATACCAGATAACAGTTTTATCTCTAACAAATGGAAAGATAGGAAGATTCTTTCAACTCTTTCTTGCTTCTTCACTGGTAATACCATGTTTTTGGATACTTGGGTCCCTCACCAGGTGCCTTTCTGCTCCATGCAATGCTCAGAAATGTTTTGTTTTTTTTTTTTATTTTGGAGCATCATGATAGTCTCTGCATAATGCTGAGGCTTCAGAGACACAGCAGGTTCCTGTCTGAGCTGAGAGAGTCCTGCTCTTTGAAATAGTTTATCAACTGTAAAAATAAAGCTGGATCAAAAAAAAAAAAAAAATTTTTTTTTTGTCAGAGCTGATTTGATACCCTGACCCTTTGTTCCGTTAATGAATTGTCCTCTTACAGGATGATTTTTTTAACTTGTTCATTACCCATCATTTGATGAATATTTATGTTTTAAAATTTCATATGTGTATTGTTCACAAACTTAGTGGGTGTTAGTCATGTCATGTTGTTATTTCTTCAAATTATGACTGAACTTAGTGGTCACTCACAGACCATACGGTATTGTTTTTGCTGTTTGAATAGCTTCTGCAGTCCCCCATGTGATCACATATGTTTGCACTTGTACTTCTCTCAGATGTACCTACGAATAAAACTGTGTATTCTCCTCAAGGTTTTTGTCCACCTGAGTGTTTGCACATACTTTTGGATGTTTGCCCTGTTGTACTACTTTGGAGGAACAACAGGTCTTAGAACAAACAAGAACTAGAGCAAATTACTTCCTCGGGTAATCCCAAGCAAAACTAATGTAAGGGCCAGCTTTCAAATAGGTAGAAAAGTCCCAATTCCTTATGTGGAAAAAGTCCACATAATTGTGTAAATAAAAAGTACTCCTATTTTATGTCTAACATGATCATTTCATCTCAATTCAAAACATGGAAAAGGGTAAACCTGCTTTTCAAATAGAAACATGTGAAAAATACCATACTCGGTCTCTGTGTTTGCCTAGGAACAGTTAGCAGATGGTGAGGAGTATAGAGATAGATGAATAAATAATTCCCAAATATATTTTTGCTATATGGTAATTTCAGGTCAGTTCTTAATGTTATTAGACGGTAGTCCATTTAGTATCAGTTCAAGTGAGTAATTATTTTCTGCTGCTGAAGTATTTTATAAGGAGAAAAATATGTTTATCTTGTGCTATTGTACTTTGCAAAAGGTAGAAAAGTTATAAAATCTTGATAGACTGAAGGAAACTAATGTAGTTTTACAGATTGGGAGTCATTTATATCGACATCATGTATATTGATAGGATTCTACAAACCTTCCTGTTTACTTATGAGGTAACTCTATTCCTGTAATGGCCACTTCCTTGCTGAGATTTCACTCAGGCTTTGAGATGGCAGTCTTAGTTTTTTCCTATTCCATTTAATGTGGAAAATGTTTTGCTCATGTCATCTTTTCATTTGTAAAAGCAGGCTTTTGTACATTTGTGTCCACCTCGAGTTCCTCATGTCTTAGTGCAAAAAAAAAAAAAAAATGGTTTATGCCATTTTCAAAGCTGAAGGAGGGGAAAAAAAAAGGCAGAAAAACTAACAGCATCAACAAACAAAATTCTTAATAGACTAATGGCAGAGTGGGTAGATGACTTGTTCCCTTCAGTGTGGAGGTCAGCATAACAACAGCTAAACAGGATCTTGATTCAGATAATCATGAGCACTTGCAGGAAAAAAAAAGAAAAAATCTATTGCTGTACATTGCTGGTACCTGATGCTTCCTTCCTCTGACATAAGAGAAATCCTTGACCACAGATCTCACCTTCTAGAGAGAGCAAAACATTTTCAGAAGGGGGAAAGAAAACAACGTAACTACGGAGATCAAGATGATTACTTTTTTGTTTTGTTTATTTCTCAGATGTGCAGACTGCTCTTAATCAGGGTGTCCAAGACACCAACTCGGTGTTCATTGCCTCTGAGCCCAAGTGAAGAGTCCCTGAGCATGACATTGACTTCCAGCAGCTGTGCTGGTGCTGTACAAAGCAGTCTCTGGAGAAGAGCAGTTATGTACATGTAATGCTGCTGTATGAATCTTTCAGCAGCTTTTAGTGGAAAAAGGACCTGTTCACATTCAGAAGCAGAGAGGAGAGAGGAATGGGAAAAGAACAGCAACATCCCACAGTGACTCTGTGGAACATCCAGGCAGGAAGGAAGATTGACAAGAGAGCATTTTCAACACTAAAGGTTAAGAAGAAAAAGTTAATAAAAAGCTAAACATTATCTGAGCTTCTATGGCAATTTTACACCCAGCTGCACTTGCAGCAGAGAAACTGCCATAAAAAATAAATAATCCCCTTCCTTCCAAGGCTTGGCAATCCAAACTTGCTCTAAGGAAGAATATTTTGAGGGAATTAAGCTATTAAAGGCAGAAAGTCTGTCTAAGATGTCAGAATCTACATCCTGATTGCAGGGAAGATCTGACTGGAGCACAGCCAGTGAGAACCTTCCTTTGGAAGCTCAGTGTGAATTCAGTGTAGCAACAGGATGCATTCATTGCACTGACCACTTCTTGACTGTTTTCAAATGAAAACTGTGTTTCAGACAAAGATGTGAAAATAGGTTTTGTGTCCAGACTGATCTTGGTAGGAGACACATCTGTCAAGAGTTTATCTTAATTCTCTTCACTTTTTGTCTTCTGGATTAAATTCTTTCATGCTTTTCCTGTCTTAGAAAAACATCCCATCTTTTCTTCTCATGTCTTCAATACTCTTACTCTTTCTACATTTAGTCATATTTTTTTATCACTTCTTTCAGTTCCTCATCGTATACTTCTTGCATTTATACATCAAGCAGTTGATCAAGTCAGACCATCCTGGATGGATCCTCGGAGGAAGAGGAGGACTGCAGTTCTGACAGCTGTAGTGTCCTTCTGGTTTGTGTGCCTGATTGCCTTGGAGGTTGAGCTTCTCACCACGTGGAAATGTGTGATGTCAGGTTACATCTGAAATATGAGTTTATGCGCAAACTCATCAGTCCTAAAATGCTGCATTCAGAATATGACCTTATTTAAGGGTCTCGGCAGGAGGACAATGCTCTGGTCCTACAGAGACAAATTTACTTCAGGAAGAATCTCTAATCAGCACGTGAAGATGAAGGGAACTCTCTTGCTCCTCATGCATTTTTTTTCCCTGAAGTTGCCTTTATGTAAAATGTGTTACGGTGCAAAGCTAGAAATACTGTGTCTGTGAGAATGAAATCTTGCTCGCACACCAAGGTGTAAGGGAAAGACGACAGCATGGAATAGCACCGCCTGGTGACACCTTTCATGGTAACTGTTAATTTGTGACTCCAGAGCAAGCCTGAGCTTTTCTGTTCTGTTATCAAAATATCTCAGACCCATTAAATGAAGAGACTGATTTCTACATGCTGCTGTCAGGTCATGGTAGCTTCCATTAGCAGCTCCACGAATTGCTCTCATCTCTGCTCATTAGGGACAGTGGGCCATTGTGAAAATGTCAACCAAACAGTGGTTCCTATGCAGAATTTCTCACAGCTTACTTCTCTTACCTACCCATCCTATGATCATTACAGATAATGCCTGGTTTTCCAGCTTTTTTTTTTTTTTCTTCGCTTGCTATGTAGACACCTGACAGAGGGTAGAATATGTAAGATAGATTGAAAATAAGTGGGTTGTGCTTTTTATTTATGCAGTGGGCTGCTAAACTAGTTGATTTAGCAGTTCCATTACTTTCTCATCATCTATAATACATATTATTGTCGCAGCCTATAATTCAGATGCCCTGTCCCCTGTCATTTGATGTTGAACTTTATTAGCTAGCGGTTGGCACACTTATTTCCTAGTACACTTGACAGATTTCCTAATCACCATATAGTATTCCAAGATTTTTAGTTAGTTATCAGCCTCCAAGGATTAACATGGCAGAGGCTATTATGAGCAGGCTGCTGCAGTTTCTGGCATCTTCAGCAGTGATGCAGTACACACAAAAGTAGACATTACCATTTCCAGAATTCAGAGACTTTTCTGTAGTCAGTTAATCTGGGAAAAGATCAATCTCTTTTTCTGTATGACAAAAATCGAAACCAGAATGAGTTCAGCCTTTATCTTTGGTAAGTGCCTCCTATAAATGGGTGCAGTTTTTTCTCAGATAGCTGATATTCTTTGAATAGCAGCAGCAAGAGGAAGCGGTGTATCGTGGTTTGGGCCTTTTTGTCAGCCAACCACCATGCAGCGGCTTGCTCTCCCTTCTCTTCTGGCAATGAGAAGGGACAGAGAGCCAGGCTTGGGGCTCGAGATAGGACTGGGGTGGGGAAAAATTCCCCTTTATGATCACGAGCAAAAGGCAGACTCATTAGGGGAAGAAAAAAAGAACATACGTTTATTACAGACACTAACAACACATAACAGAGTAGGACAGTGAGAAGCATTGCAACATCTTGAGAACACCTTCCCCCCACCCCTCCCTTCTTCCCAGGCTCAGCTCTGCTCCCGATATCTCTACCTCCTCGCTCAGGGGCAGGGAATGGGGGTGCAGTCAGCGCTGCCACTTCCTTTATCTTCGGTGAGGGGAGTGTCCGAAACTTGTTCCTCCTGCTCCATCGTGGTCCCCCTCTCACAGGAGACAGTCCTCCACAAACTTTCTCCAACATGAGTTCCTCCCATGGGCCGCAGCCTTCCCCACACTGCTCCGTCATGGGTCACTAACTTCCTCCGACTGGATTCCCTCCCACGGCTGCAGCCCTTCCCGAGTTGCTCCGGCGTGGGACTCCCCCACATGCTGCAATCCTCCCAGCACTGAATTACAGCAGCGGGGCTACCTTTTCCCATGAGACCCCGGCCTTCTTCGGGCACAGAGCCTAGATCAGCTGAGCAAGAGCAACAGGCCATAAATCAATGTCTGCTCCACCGTAGATCTTCATGGGTGGCAGGGGGGGCCACCCTGCTGTCTCACCACAGGATACAGGGGGGTCTCTGCTCCGGCACACCTCCCCCCTCCTGTCTTCCTCTGTTCCTCCACTGACCTTGGTGTTCATGCAGCTGCAGCAACTCCTCCTCACAAGTCCGACTGCCTGTCACCACATCCCTTCTTAAATACGTTATCGCAGAGGCGCAGCCGATTGGCTCAATTTCCCAAACAGAAGTGGAGCTGGGGGAGCTTCGAGAAGCTTCTCACAGGGGGCCGCCCCGATAGCCCCCTCCCCTGCCACCAAAAAAACCCCACCACTCACTCAACCCAGGACAAGGTGTAGGACTAAAACTCAGATGCACCAACAGAACCGCATGTTGGGAGCCCAGGACTGGAATACAGTGCTGATCCTGTTAATGAATGGTAGTCATCTGTAGAGTTTTCAATGAGCTGTATACAGTTAGCTTCCACTGTCTGCTCAAGCCAGACAAATTTCTCTTGACTGATTGCAGTAACCAGGATAATATTTGTATTTGTGCCAGTTAAGGCAGGTTAATTAGGTCTTAAGATTGTAAATTAATCTATGGAGACTCTCAGTGATACTTGCAAACTGCAGTTATTGCAGAGATGCTACAGACTTGCTCTTTTGCTGTTGTGAATGACTTCTACAGACTTGAGATAGACTAGGGAATGTTCTTGGAGCAGTCTCTACTTTAGATCTTGACTAGGTTTTTGGAAAACTGGATACATTCCCATCCACTGGGAGTGTGTCCCAGACAGTTTTCAGAGCTGCCCATTTCTTAGGAGAAGACTCTGAGTTTGGTAGATTTCAGATGGTATCCATGTGGAGTTTGCACTGATACTCAAAGTTTACATGTATGTATTGCACTGTTAAGTCTTCGTGTCTCAGATTAAAATGTGTATGGCTAGCTGGAAAATAATGTGACTCATGGTGTTGCAATACCAAGGCACCAGGGGCCTGTATCACAAGTGGGAGTGGTCAGAGGATGTTGAACAAGTCACCTTGTACATGTCACCTATTCGTTCGTATAATATTTACATAGCAGGATGCTGATGCAGTTCAATAATACCAGCCTCTCTCTACCTAGGCTCTTTTTAAATATAATATTAATAAGAGTCTCAATTCAAGTAATGTGATTAAATATGGAGAGATTTCTGATGTATCTGGAAGATGTTGGCATCCACAAATCATTATTGTTATCACTCAACGTATAAGTTCCCTCCACTGACATACAGCCTCACTGTTTGTGTATTATCCTGTAAGTTTCTTATTAAGATGTCTTAATTCTCAACAAAGTCAAGAAATAAATAGTTTAAACTATAATTAGTTTTTGTGAATCAAAGGCTCATTTGTGTTTGGAAGTGATTTGCAATTAGCCTGTTCTTAATCTCTTATGCCACTATAAAAGCAGCACGGAGTTCTCAGTAACTTTGCTCCCAAAATATTGTGTACTGCCAGTATCAGGTACATTCATGGAACATGTTCAGCCACTTGTCCCAGTAATCTCTACTCAATTCATTATCTTTGCTATTATTCTAATTATTGGTATTTTTTTTCTTGCTGCTCTTTATTCCCTCTTTTTTTAAAAAAAAAAAAAAAAAACAACAAAAAAAACACTGATTAAGCAGAATAATTGGTCTTTCATGTCTGTATTATTTAGCTGTTCTGATAGTAGAGAAAGAATACAGTACAGCAAGAGAGAAGGTTTTTACTGATAATACTCACTACAGACACTGCTTGTAGATTTTCAGACTGGAAGAGATCACCGATTTCCCTGTGGCCTCTGCTGTTAGGAGCTGTGTATTTGCCCTGTGCAGTCCTTATTGTTGCACACTGATGTTCTTATGGTCCCTTACCATATTTGTTCCTAAGAATGCAGCAACAAAGCACATTAAATGTTGCCCTTCCTATATAATGTTCATACAGCATCAGGCATGGTCCGAGGAGGTACACAAAGGAATTAGACCACCTTTATCCATCCTTAGGCAGAATTCTTCATCCTGCTCATTGCATCTCAACCTGCTCTCCTTCCTTTGTGGGCTTTTTTGACATTCCCTGTACTCAGTGTTAGTTGGTAGATGCACTTTAAAATTATTTTTCAAGACCTAGCCATTTCATAAATGAAACAAATGAATTTGAGAGCCTTTGACACTGTAAAGCAAGTAATGACTGCCAGCTTATTTGGCTTTTCTCTCTTTACACCCCAGATAAACTGGCCAACCGTAGCACATGCACTGTCAGGTAAGCGTAGGATCGAGCCTCTTCTCAAGGCCAGACGCCTCTGCTGTCTTTGCTGCAGCCACTCCTGTCCATGCCAGTCCCACGGCCCAAGCTTGGGACCTCTCTGGGGCAGGTCTGAGCGCACCCGCTACGTGTCGTGTGCCCACGCCCCCCGTTGCCATCGGGGGTACGTGGGGCTGAGTGTGCTCCAGCCCCGATGCCGATAGGTAGCCTGAGCTTGGTGCTGCCTCAGTACAGCGTAGCTGACCCACCGGCAGAAATGTGGATGCAAATTTTCGGGTCAGAACGCACTTTGCTCCTCTCTAGCATGAATATAGAGGCTGGCAGGGCTCCCAGAAATTTTGTTCCCTTGGCCCCTCTGTGAAACGTTCCATGGAAAAGCTGGTATATGTCAAGTATGGGGGTGATGGTCTGGTTTTCATTTTTCATGCCTGTTAGGAGCTAGGTGGGGGCCCAGGCAAAATAAGTTACATGTGTTAGTTCCTCTCCCACCACTGACAGCCATCTGCACTGGGTAGGAGCTGCAACCCTGCCACCAGTTAATTATGTAGCTCATAATTATGTGGGGGGTTTGTCCTTCTCTCTGCTTCTCCCTGTCTCTTAATGTCAGTGTCAACCATGTCTCCTTTCTTCCCAGGTGTGCCAATGCTGTTTGTTATCCTCTGGGGAACTGTCAAGTACCTTTATGAAGATGAGGGGTTGGTTTAGTTCTGATTTTTCTAGCTATCTCATTTGTGCTGTATGTGTGCACCGGCAGGTCATTGTTTGCTTTCTGTTCGGTGTGGTTTGCTTTGGCAATGTGCTGAAACGTCACATAATTGCTTCTGTTTTGTCTGAAGGTCTTGCATAACATTTCAGAAAGGACCATATGTTTCTTTCTGATCAGAATTTTCTGCATGTCTGAATGAATCTATCCTTTTGCAGGTCAAGGAAAGGTATGTTTTGTTTTTCTGTAGTTACAGTATCAACAGTAGAAGTCGTCATACCCAACCAAGACAACTCCTGATACTGTGCCTTTGGCAGTAGCCTTTACATTTACGCTTCAGTGGAAGGCAAAAACCTCCCACAGGATTCTGCCTGCAATTTGTAGTGGTTAGCTTATGCCTAGGAGCAGAAATGTGATTGCCTGGTCTTGTTTAAGCTTCCGTTATTTATAGCTTCCTAAAATAAAGGCACGTTCTCTGTCTGCTTACGTTAGACTTACTGAAGTCAACTATACCTCACACAAGACTGCTGCAAAACAGAAGATACTTTTCATCCACTTTTCCATAGTGGCTGTTCTGAAACATTGCCTTTATATATGCTTTATATACCGAATAGCATTGTAGTTTGGCGGGGTTTTTTTAATAAACAAAAGGGAGGAAAGTGGCTGCCTATTCTTAGCGACAGTGACTGCCTGGAAATATTTTGGTAGCTTTCTTTGGGATGAAATAAATAACTCTATGCTATTTCCTTTTTATTGTAAATGTAGTATTTATTGGGTCTTCCTCTTACTTAGTTTCCAAACAACCCAGCCAGCAGTTTTGTAGAGGTTCATTTTTTCTCTTTTTTTTCTTTCCCTCCACCAGACACAATCCTTGCTGGCTCTTTTTAGTGTCTTTCATAGTATTGAATCAACTCAGTCAAAGCTGCCTGTTCTGACTTAACCAATGCTAGGATTTTGTGACTTTTCTTCTCAAGGTTGACTTGGTAATATTCTGTAGCAAGATTGTGGCCATACTGAGGTATTGCAAGTTTTGTTAAAATTATCTTAATATGTATAGAGAACATGCAGCCTCTGAACAGCCGATGTTCCATGGGCATATCTTCCCATTGATGTAGAAAATATATTCAAAGTGCTCATGCTGAGCTTCCTACATTATGCTGTGCTCAAAGCTGATTTATGTTTTCTATTAAGGAAAACTGTCACTCACTGCCTTCAGCAGACCTTAAAAGGGACAATTTTGCACCTTATTGAATCTTCTAAATCTTGTATAAATATTTGTAAAAAACAGCAATAAATAACTACGTGCAGCAGCTTCTCTGAAAGGCAAGATTTCTGTGCCTTGGGCAGGCATTTGCTGGAGCATCCAGGGATATCTTTCATGCTCTTTGCAACAGCGCTGTCACCATGGGTGTGCAGCGGGCTGTAAATTTCATTTGTGACTTAACTACATCCCTGGCTGTGAGGAATAACTGGGAGTAAATGTGGTCAGGACTGGGAATTTGAGGCAGTCCTGTGAATGTAGCCATTTGAATGAAGGACTGAAGCCTGCAAGACTTACTTGCAGACTGGCTCCTTCTTTCCTTACATGTGGAACACTAAACTCCTTTAGAAAGTAGTTGCTGTTTTAAAAAAGTGAGCTATTGAAAAAGAATTTGTCAAGATTACAAATAAAATTAAAGGCAGGCAGTGCTTCTCAGTGATTAGACTGTGCCTAATGAGCTGATACTCACACATCTTTGTTTCTATCTGCAATTGATTATGGGAACAAGATAACCAACCTATGACGGTTTTTAAAAATGGAGCTATTCAGCTGTACCTCTTCAAGGTAAAAATTCATTGTTTTCATTTTTAGAAAAAGAATACCAGATTGATAAGCAAAGACAGAAACTTTCCAGTAGCATTTGTTTCACTGGACCAATTCTTCATTTACTGCTCTGAGGCTATTAGTTGCCAAGCATCTTCTGAGTGATGCTGAGCAAACTACAGGGATAGATCCTAAACACGATAGATACTGGTGTATTTATTAGCGTGGAAGTCCCAGAAAGCACAAATGGACAAGAAATCATGTACAGATCTATCAATTTTTTTTTCTGGACACTTTAATAGCCATGACACTTTAATTGGGCTGTAATGGCGTTTTTATTGCACATATTTGTATAAATCTAAAAGTAGCTAAAACTGCTCTGTGCCACAGAAAGCAAATTAATACACAGAGATACGTAGCAGAGTTAATGCAAAGAATCATTTCTCAGCCTCCATCATTATAAGGAAATTATAAAATTGCCTCTGCTTCCACTGCAACTAGTCATAAAATTAGAACTCCACTTCCATCTATGCCTATTATCCTTTTGGTCTTGAGGGGTTCAAATAATACTGATTTTAAAGGCTCCATGAAGCTGGCTCCCAGTCATGTGTACCAATTAAGAAGTTCTGTTACACTGCAGCTCAGGTACACTGACTGTACATATATACACCTTTTCTCGCCAGTATCTAAAATAAAATTGAATTGTAGGCTGTGGAGCTGCTGGTTGGAATAATATGCTTGTCATCTGCATTAAACTGCAACTGAAAGGAAAAATGAAATCCTGAGCCCTTCTCAGGCTTGCAGTACCTGCAGGGGAATATGGAATTGCCACAGCCAGGCTGCTTCACTTTCTTCTCTAGTGTGTGAGCACGTGTGAATGGGGTGTTGTAGCATGGATCCCTACCATGTGCTGCACAGACTGCTAGTTTCTTTCAACTTGACTGTCCCATTACAAGGTTGAGGAGGGTTTACTCTCCACCAACATCACCCAAGCTGAAGTTTCATAGGCCTGTTAAGGAACACTGAGCATATATATGTTTTGGCAGGTGAGATTTGGAGATGAAGAGAAACTTGTTTTGTGAAGGAACCTGTGTTTTCTGTAGTGCTGTTTCACAGTTCGTGTTTCACAGCCTGTGTGGCTCAAACCTGCTGGCTTTACTGATGGCTGTTGCTTTTGAGTAATGCTGAGCAATATGGCAGGAAGCTAACAAAGTTATTTCATAGAAATATCGAGAATGCTGTCACTGCAGCAACAGGTGAAGTGGCATGTGAACCCTGCCCCAACGCCTGGGCCATTGTGTACACACATGGCACATCGTACAGTCAGGGGTGGCTGGCTGCGGACGGGGGGGACCTAAAAGAACTATGTATACAAACCCCTTCAGTGTAAAGTTCACTTTGAACCAGTGATTCCAAACTGTGGCTTTCAGGCATCACTTTTCTTGTGATAATTCTCCAATATTGATCAAGGACACAGGAATTTAAAAAGTTAAAATGAGACTTACAGAAAGAATGAAGTATTATATTGCCTGCACCATGTTACTTACTTGACAGAGGGCTCAGCTGGCCAACAGAAGTTGGGAACTATTAGTCCCATCTTTGATTTTTACTTGCTTATAACTATTAAAACTCCCTTTGGGCCTGAAACCTGTACATATACACTGAAGAAACTGGAGTTTGCTGCCCGATTGCTTTCTCCTTGTTGAAATTATTAGGTCCTTTTTGAAAATAAGGACAAATAAAACAGATGACTCATCTAAATATTGATATGAGAAAAGTGATGGTAGGTAATGGGATAAATAACTAACAAACCGTTGAATAATAAGGTGACCTGACAATGGAGACTGAAGAGTAATAAAAAATAATGCAGAAAGAGGAAGAGAGGAACCATGCAGGAAAGGTCTGGCTCAAACAGGTTCCCCCCTTCTCCTTGCAGCCACATGACAAATTTGACCTTGGTTTTAATGGAGTAAATCTTCACAATTAACTGATGATAATTCATAGCAAATTGTGGAGAAGAGCTAGCCATTAGTGGGCAAGAAAGGCCAGTGAATAGTATCCAGCTGGATTATGATAGCTGCAATAGTACAAAGCATTCAGTGTTTCTAAGAAGCAACTGCATCTGTTTCCATGTCAGCATGATATGCTTTCCCTGGTATCTAGTCCTCAATATTGTTTTCTATCTGCATTGCTGTAAAAAAATGAAAAGCAGGAGATTTTAGTAATGTACTGAAAATTTTGCTTCTTGTCTCCTTCTTGTTGCCATCTTTCTAGTTGCTGGACCAGAAACTATAACATGAATTACTGGTTAATCATCAGACTGCCCATTCTCATCGCCATTGGGGTGAGTACGGGGTGCGTGCAGCGAGCTGGCAGATTTCCATGAGAATGGGGCATGATACAGGACAAAGAGCAGATGTGCACATGGCTGTTGTGCGTGTCCAAAGGCTAATAACCTTTGAGGATATTGACATTTTCATTCAGAAATGTGATTTTATGAAACCAAATTGGCTTCTGTCACTGGAATTCCCGACTAGCATTTTACTCGTTTAATTTGGCCACACACTGTCATGTTCTAGTGGCAGCACATGATAAAAAAGCAGCATGATGCAGCGATCCAGTTAACTCCCCTGTATGCAGAAGGCTATGGCAGGTAGTACAGGGAGGTAAAAGATAATATTCCAGGTACTGGGCTACAGAAGAGCAACAAATTGTGTGGCACTGGGGAGAAATGCCATGTTCTGCAGCCAGAAGACTGTGTTAGACCTCCAGACAAGGGAAAATGACAACCCACACCTTTACTGTGTCTCACTCCCCAGAGGTGTAGGTAAGCTCGCCTGCTTTTAGAGAACTGCCTGCGTTTTCAAAGGCTATTTGTGCATTCACAGAGGATGTATTTAGAGCACAGTTCCTTAGCAAGGAGTTGGGTTCCATGGCAGATTCTGCAGCTGCAGAGTAGCAGGATGCAGAGGGACCCACACGTGCATACACAAAACAGCTTCTTTGAGCACTTATGCACATGTTTTTCTTGATGATGATATCGATCCTTCTTTCATTTCTCCAGGTAAATTTCCTGATCTTTATCAGAGTTATATGCATCATCATCTCCAAACTACAGGCTAATTTGATGTGCAAAACTGACATAAAATGCAGGTATGTCATATGGTGGTCTGACACGTTTCGTGCCTATCAAAACGGAAATAGACAGGGAGGTATGTGGAAGGAATGGATTGACAAAGGTGGTTAAAGATCACAGGCTTTGAGTAATGCACAGGTATGGTGTCACGCATTATTGGTGTGACTGCTGGGACAGTCAGTCCCCAGAAGACCCTCCTGGTGAAGCCAGGGCAGGTGTTACACCTGTGTTATACAGGAACAAAAGGCTTGACCCCTCCGAGTTTGTCACTTTACAGTCTTCCATGATACTGGATGAATATTAATTAAGCAGATATTTTTAAAATTCTTGCAGCATATGCAAGTACTGAACATCAAGGTCCTTGAATGTGTCCAGAAGAGGACAACAAAGCTGGTGAAAGGGCTAGAAAGAAAGTCCTATGAGGACTGGATAAGGACTTTGAGCTTGTCTAGTTTGGAGAAAAGGAGGCTGAGGAGTGACCTCATTGCTCTTTACAGCTTCCTGAGGAGGGGAGGTGCTGAGCTCTTTTCCCTGGGATCTAGTGATAGGACATGTGGGAATGGTTTAAAGCTGCGCCAGGAGAGGTTTAGACTGGACATTAGGAAGCATTTCTTTACCAAGAAGGTGGTCAAACACAGGAGCAGGATTCCTACAGAGGTGGTTGATGCCACAAGCCTGTCAGTGTTTGAGGCATTTGGACAATGACCTTAATAACATGCTTTAAGTTTTGATCAGCTCTGAATTGGTCAGGCAGTTAGGCTAGGTGATTGTTGTAGGTCCCTTCCAACTGAAATATTCTATCCTATCCTATTTTGAAATAAATAATATCAGTGATAGAAATAAATGCTTCAACTTCAATGAAGATCAAGATGGGTCATTTGAGTTTTGAGTGTTGCTCCTTGTTCTTCTTGACAGTTGTTATTGGGACAAACTTTCAATCTTGAATGCATAGGATGTTTTGAGAGAGAGATCAGGGTTATCACAGAAACGTTCAATTTTAATTTTGCAGGTTTCACCCTGTTCGTGTCAGTATTCTTCCTGTTACTTAATCACTTTGTTAAGATTCATGGTCACATCCTTCATTTCTGCATTTCAGAGAATACTTTTGTATTGCAGTCTGAAAAATAATGTAGAAAATAACAAGTTATTCAATTAAACAGTGTGGAGCTTACATGCTATGGTAGCTGGACTGCTATTGGTGATTGAGTTAGCTAGTTTGAAGTTGGGTATTTCATTGTTGCAGCCTTCTAAGCTAGACACAGCATCTATTTTGGTGCATTATCATCAGGGTATAGAATTACCTTATATGTTACCTAACTTCTTTAGCTCATGTGAAATTTTGGAAAGCCTAATGCGTGTTTAGAGCACAAAGCAGAGAAAATGACTCATTTTAATGAGCTGTAGGCTTTGCTTTCATGCCTACTGTTTGGGGTTTTTTTTTAAATATGTGTGACCTTTATTTACCAGGGTAAAATTTGCAGTGTTGGAAGGGGGGAATTTTCCACTTCTGATAGCTTGAAGCCATTTAGAAGTCTGACTGTAGATTTACCCAGTCAAGGGAGAAAGCCCTTGCCCTCATGACTTCTGCAAGCAGTAGGAAGGTTTGATGCAGGTGAGCCATTTCCCAGAGGTGTGTGTTCATTCATTTTTTCATGTTGCATGTTCAAAAATCTGCTATGTAAACAAAAATGCTTTATCAGAAAAGGGTTTACCGGCAGCAGATCCTTCTTCACTGATGAATGCTATAGTCTTGGTGGTCTGTCCGGAGGTTGGTGGTTATAGTCATAAGCTTTGGGGAAGTCTTTTACCTAGAAGAGTTCAGTTCCTTGATGTGCTTCTGATGATAACAAGACCAGTAGTCAGAGATTCCTGTATCATAATTTTTCCCCCTCCCTTCTTTTCTGCTCAAAGACACTGGAAAAGATTTTGGGTGGAGGAAAGACAGAACTGCTATGTTGGAATGCGTTATTTTAAACAAGGACCAGTCTAGGTGCCCTAGAAAGACACTAGCTTAAAAACACTTGTGTATAGAAAGGAGAAGAGTGTTTTGCTCTCAGGCCAATCTTTCCTTCACCTCTCTCCTGTTGCCCGTTCATTTGATGGAGTGACAGAGCTCACTCTTCAGTATGGCAGCAAGTCTTTTTCCTTTGCAGAAGGACTGGAGTTGTGGAGAAACTTCTCCCCTTTCTTAGGGAAAGGATTTTCTTTAGAGAGAGGTCTTAATTACCCAAGAAGTCTTTTCACAGGACTTTTCATGGCTTCCTGGTTAAGGCAGAGCTCTCCAAGTATTACATCTAGAACAATTAGCATTCATTAGATAAGCTACGGTATTGCTGTACACCTACAGAACTTCGGTTTTTTTTTTTTGACCCGGGTGGTGTCTCCAGAGCCAATTCAGCATCAGTCTCCTGCTTCTATCTCAATCTCAGGCAGGTGGCAGTGGAGCAGAGCCTCCATCACAAGACTTGCTGGTAAGCTGCTCATTTAAACAAGCCCCCTAATGCAATGGTCTGCCTAGGTCCACTGCATATTTCTGCTTACTTGTATATGTAAATGGTTTCATTTCAATAGGAGCTTTGATGCACCAGTCCTCAGTCCTTGCGTATCAAGAACATTGGCAGGCCAGTGGATGGGCTGACAGAAGCCTTACACTTGGTGTGTAATAACTCCATGCAGCAGTACAGGATGGGCACTAACTGGGAAGAAAGCAACTTTACAGAGGATCCAGGGATGCTGGAGGACAACAGGTTGAACATGATTCAGCGCTGTGCCCTTATGACAGCATAGGCTGACCAAGTACTGGGCTGCACTAGCAAGATCATAGCCAGAAGGTCAAGGGAAGTGACCTCCATTCAGCAATTGTGAGACTACTTCTGGTGTCTAGGTTGAGGTTCCTCAGTACAAGAAAGACATTGTATCCTGTCCCTCCAACCCTGTGGGACTTGCAATCAGCTTTGCACCAAGCTAGTTCAGGGGCTGGACCAGGTGACATAGAAGGAGCTGCTGAAAACTGGGTTTATTCAGTCTGGAGAACAGAAGGCTAAGCAAGGATTTAATTGCCGTGTTCAGGTACCTAATGGTGGTTATACAGAAGATGGAGCTAGTGTCTTTTCAGAGGTGCACAGTGAAAGGACAAGGAGCAAAGGTCACAAGTTATAGCAAGAGAAATTCGAATTGCATGTCAGTGATGAAAAAAAAAAAATCACAGTGAGTGTGGTCTGATGCTGGAAGAGAGGTCCAGAGGGGCTGTGGAGGACCTGGGAGATACTCAAAACTTGGCTGGATACAGCCCTGAGTAACCTGTGAACTGGAGTTGGACCAGAGACTTTAGAGGTCCCATCCAACCTGAATGACTACATGATTCAGAGTAGCAGCCAGCAGCCTTGGGGCACACAAGATCTACTAAGTAGTGACAGCCCTGCTAGTTGAGTGATTTTTGTATCTACTGAATTGTCTCAAGACAGGTTGTTGGGAGATGTTGACAGGTTCTGTGACCCAGGATAGCCCTATAAACTCTCAGGTGAGGCTCAGGCATCTTTCATTATCCTGTTGGGTAGCTAGCATGTATGCCTGTTAAACGAGCTAAGGTCTATTCTTGTGAATGTTTTTCTGTGGTTCTATCCCTGAGCATTGCTCTCTCACTGGTGAAGAATGTTTTATTTCAGGTTGGTTTGTCTTTTTTCCTTTGCTAGCTGTGTCTTTGAACTTGCCATTTAAATCATGGAGTCATCACTCACTTTAAGACAGTTTAACTGCTTTTACAAAGTGTTCTGCGGTTACGGTTAGTTACAGTGTCTTGAAGATTTAACACACCACAGAGATGGGAAGGAATAGCAAGTACTCCTCCCTTTGCCAAGATATTTTTAAAAGATTCCAATTATTGATAGATCGTTTCTTTCAGGCCATCAACAAGGTAGGTTTTGGTCATCTTTCTCACAGGTGGGGAAAAGGATACACAGGAAGTTATCTCAGGTACAAGAAAGCACATGGCATCCTCCTGAGTTTGGAAGATTTCCCAAGTGAAGTACAGCCAGTAGCTGAATACAGAGCTTTGCTCTGAGCTTTGCAGTGGAGTGTCAGGGGCAGTTAAAACATGTTGAAACCTACTAAAGTTTTGAGGATTTGGGTTTTTTTCCCTGCAGCCTCTGGAGGAGGACCCTGCGACACAAAGCAGTGCAGTGACTTACCAAAGTTGACAGCGTGTCAGAAGCAGAGTGCAGAAAGAATGACTGCCAGTGATCATTGGGATCAACAGTGATCTACTTAGTGGTGTTTTTTTTTTTTTCTTTCTTTCTGATCTTAGGCTGGCCAAGTCTACGCTGACTCTCATCCCGCTGCTGGGGACCCATGAGGTCATCTTTGCCTTTATCACTGATGAGCATGCCAGAGGGATGCTGCGCTTTGTGAAGCTTTTTACCGAACTCTCCTTCGCTTCTTTCCAGGTAGAGCCCACACTGTGCCCATATGGATAAGGTATTTTTAACTGCTGTTTGGGGACCTGCTTTCTTTCTCATTCATTGCATGTTCCTTGTTCTTTATATTTTGCAATTTAGCACTGGATATTACAGGATTATGACAGTGGAAGGGAAAGTATAAGGACTAATTTTTAATAGCCAAGTTAGATGTTAGTGTCACATGCTCTTATTTTCAATGTCTTAAATTTACCACATTAAACTGGTATTCCTATCCACGTATTAGTATCTACTTCCTATGGGACACCTCAAGGCAATAATGAAATTGTGTGATTTCCTGTAATTGTATAATGGCATTGCTAAAAGCAAATTTTGTGCTTTCTCCAGTGTTTTTGATACTCCTTGGAAAATCTGTGCTGTGAGGGGTAGCTGTCTACAGCTGTAACTGCACGTGAGGAGGATGTAGGTTTACTGTGATTTTTATTTAGCTGTTGCCTTAGGTAAGGCCGTTTCAAAAGAGTCCTCTCATCTAAGGGAATCGTTATTCTTGTAGTTTTCCTGCTCACCCACTTGTTCCCTGTTTATCAAGCACAGAGCTGTATTTCAGATCACTGAATTCATTTACAAAGTATTTATAACTTGAAACCAGGTAAGGAAAAAGAAGGGGAAAGGAATCTTTAGAAAAATATAACAGGTTGAAGAAAATAGTTTAACTCCTTTTTCCTAAGATCATGTGCTTTGAGACATAGTTTGCTCAAACCTCTCCTCTGCCATCAGAGCTGCCAGGGAACACAGATGGGCTCCATCTTTCAGTCTTATATGGGACATTCCAGCATGGAGCCTCTAGCCCTCTGCAAGTTTGTTTGGCAAAGCAAGGGAAGTGCTCTGCTCACTGCTCTTCTGGTTTTTGTTGATTGCAGGGGCTGATGGTTGCAATTCTCTACTGTTTCATCAATAATGAGGTAAGAGCGACACTGGTTGCTCCAATTTGCCTTATCAGCATCCACTATAGGAAAAGGAAATTGAAAATGGTCTTGAACTGCTAAATTGTCCTTGTTTGGGACTTTTACTTTTTTTTTTTTTTCTCCTCTGTACAGCTACACAGGATAACTCCTCAGACAAATGTTGTTGGAAGGAATTCAGGCAGTATAGTTTAGGGCCACTATTTGTAGACATGAAATCTTGCAAGTTGTCTTCCTCGCAATTGTATGGTTTGCACTGCTGGAGCTTTTCGTTTATTAAGAATTATAGCAGCTCCTCCTAATCTGTCTCACAGAACTTCTTATTTGCTTGTTTTGGTGAATGTGGGAGTAGAGCCTGTTTTATTCTGAGAACTCAGCTCAGCTGGCTGGTGAGGTTGGAGTCCTCTGGGCTAATGCCCATACAGTTTGGTTTCATTTGGTTTCCCTGTGGCCCAGCTACTTGAAGATATCATCACACTCTCATTAAAACTGAACTTCGTGGAGGGTGAGCTCTCCCACAGGCCCAGAAGAAACGTAGCCCGGGCTTTGAGTGAATTGACTGCAAGTACTATCTTCTGTGGCTTCTGCTGAAGCCCTGTTGGGGAAGAATATTGTTCTGTTTCAGTATCGCAGAAATCTCTCGTGTTACCCTTAAAGTGATTATTATTATTATTATTCATTCATTCAGCAGCCAGGTTTGCAAGGGAAGGAAACACTACTAATTTGGAAGCACATTAATAATTTTAATGCACATCAGTGTGTTTTACACTCATGCTAAATCTACTTTTAAACATGACACGGTAATTCAAGATCATCTACTGAGAGATAGGCCTCATCCAAGGAATTGGAATCAATGGAAAATTGTTCTACTTGTGTCATTATGACTAGGCTGGAGTCACAGCAGGCATCTGGAATTAAGCCCTGCAGGAGACTGTTCACTTTTGTAGCTTGTGGGTAAGGTTTAGTTTAGGTGAATGTGTTAATTGTACTGTTTACAAAAGTCAGAAGTGAGTAGCAACAAGCTTTGCTCAAGCATGAATCAGAGATTATTTGTTTCAAATCCCTTGTACAGCTTTACTGGTGTATTTTCATCCTGAAATGTGGCACTGTCTGCTGACGCATCATGTATTTCTTTTGATTCACTTTGACCTTCACTCATACATGCCCTGTGCAACTGCAGCCAGGTCTCTCATGAACAATGCCCAGTAATTTCCTCCATGTGATACAAGGGCAAAGTTACATCACAGCCCAAACTTTATTACAACCCCTGAAAGCAGTAGGCTTGTTTCATTTGAGAGAACTTACTGTGAAATAGCCTACCTGCGTTTCTAAGGGGTCCTCCAAATCTCTTGCTGCTATAGTTCTTTTGCCTTTCTAATGTAATTCATAAAAATCTAACTGCAATGTACTCAGCTTCACAGGAAGCTGACAGACAATCTAGGATGAATTATTTTGCTTGTTCCAACTCTTGTTAAAAGAATGGAGAAGGACTTTGTCAATCCCAGTCATCAGTATCCATAAAATAAATCCATGTAAAGAGTTTGATTAGGTCAAGTTTCTTCTATTTCTTTCCTAAACTATATGAGAAATTTTTCCTAAACTAAATGAGTAATTGTTTTTCTTCTGACAGACTGTATGTGCCTGAACACTATCCTTGTTTGCAATATGGTCTATATTTTTATTTTTGTCTATGACTCATTGACTCCTTTTCTTTTTCCTTAGCCATACAGAATGAAAGATTTTTGCAAGTCCTGATACCAGATCAAGAGTAGAAATTAAGCTAGAAGTGCTATTAATGTCCCTTTCTAGTATCTACTTACGGAAAAACATTAAAATGTGTTCATATTTCAGTCATGTTTCACCTGGGAGATTCTGAATTTTCTCTGATATTGCTCTGAAGCCAAGAGCAGGGTCTCATCAGATTGCCTATTATCACCAATGTTCTTTGCAAAATGAGCTGGGCTTAATATGACCAGTTTTTCTGCAGTTAGTGTTGCTTTCTGTAAGAACTAGTCTAAACCACAGAGATGCTGCCTCTTTCCACCAGAATTAGTTTAAGCTGGTTCAGGTTTTATTTTCTGTAGTCTTACTGCTTCTGTTTGCACTCCTTCCTGTCACAATGGAACACACTTCACTCTCTTCTACCTTAAAGAGTCTGCCCTAACTCTTTTTTTAATTACTGTCCAATCTTCCCTTTTTCATTTCTTTTCATTCTCTATGCAGACTATCCATTGAGCTCCTCCACCAGCTTCATTTCGGACCTACTTTCCTTCCTCTATGATTTGTTGAGGGTTTTTTGCCAAAGTTTTAAGTTTTTTGTAATGATTCCAGATTAATTGCAACACAGTCAACATCCTTGCCCATTAGCTGCATTAAGCTCAATCAGCTGCTGTGAGAAGTCCTCTCCACCTTTAACCTCCGTGACTGTCTTTTCCAAGTTCTCATACCTCTTCCCTTTCTCTCTCAAAACACATACAAATTTTCATTCTTCCCCTTTCTCATGGGATCTTTGTTCTCTGTTCCCTTTTCCCTGTATAGCTTATTTCTGGGGAATCTTATCCACACATGGAACTTGCTAGGCTAATTACTTAGCTGAAAGATCTGTAGATCTATTTCTGTGCTCAAGAACTGCCTCTCTTTACAAAATAAATCTTAACCTATTCCCTTGGCCATTCACAGCCGTCTAGGCAAAAACTCAATTCAACACAGACATCAGAGCTGCTCTTTACCCTTTTCCTAACCTCTGGAGAGAAGACTAATATTTTGTCATTCGGTTCCATTCCTAAGACAGTATCTCTGATACAGTCTTTTGTTCAGGTCTTCCCATTCAGTTAGTTTCAATCTTGCAGGCTATTTGTATCATAGCTCTAGGATACAGCCTGTCATGTCCAGCCAGATTGAAAACTCATTTCTTCCTTTGACTAATCCTAAGATACCCATTTCTATTGCTCACTGACTTACTCTGTCAATAAGTACGTTCATGCTTTCTTTCCGGATCTGCCTGTAAATGTCTACAACTGCTTTTTCCCAGCACTGCCTGTTAAACCAGCTGTTTTCCATGCCCACAAAAGATACCAAGTACTGGGGTGGTTAAACGGTCAATTCTGCAGACAGTATGGTCCCTGCATTTCACTGTTTCCTCTTCTGTCTTTAGCAGGCTGTTCCCCGTCACTCCTCTGTGACAAGCTATCCCAGATAGGCTGTCTTTTTCTGGTGTCTTTGTGCAGCTTTTGACACAACGACCCACTGTTATCATGGTAAAATACAAGCTTCTATCTCAGCATCTTTCCTTCTGTCCCATTTGGTTGTGATACCAGAGGGACAGTCAGAAACACAGAGATGCAGCTGGTCCCCACCAGGACAGGAGTCAGTACAAGGGCTGTAGCCCAGAGCTGACAAGCACCGATACAGGTAACCACCAAGGGAAGACAGCTGGTTATGTAAGGCTTTGCTCCTTTTTTAGGGCTGCTTCCCAGATTCAGTATTTCAGAATGAACAAGCACAGGAGACAGACGTACAGCAGCTGGTTCCCTAGGAAGTTTGTTTCGGAGTCTGAGGGTTTCAGCAGCCTGGGTATGATGACAAGCCTGTGCTGGAACTGCCATCAACCTATTTAGTCTCTTGGGGGTCTGTACTGGATCCTAAAAGGAAACAAAAAAGAAGTCTCCAGAGAAGGCTCGAGTGATCCACCTATAGTGAACTTACTTCCAGACTGAAGTACACACCATAATGAATTGAGCACTGTAGTTGCAGTCCTGCCTTTTTCTAGAGTAAAAAACGTTCAATTTTATGTCCTCTGCTTTATGTGTTAAAAGCTAATGGAGGTTCTTACTTCAGTCAAGTGGCAAGAACTTTACCCATGGAACAGGAAGATCTAAATTCTGTCCTTGTTTAGCAGTTACAAGACCCTGGATAAACTTCCAAATAAATACAGAGGTTACATGGTTTAACCCAGAGCCTGTGAATGGATGAGCATATTTTGAAGCTTTAAAAAAACCCCAGTATCTGGAACAAGATATTGTAATTGCTATTTAAAAAGGGGGTGGGCGGGTGGGGGAAGTACAGTCTTTGTGTACATGCTTAATTGTTGGTTTTTCAATTCTGAATAAATCTTCATTTTTGTATGGAATAAAAAAAAAAAAAGTCAAAGAACAAAAATAATCCAAGACATAATATTGTTTAAATCAAACCAGAAGTGAAAACAGAACTCTTAAGAATACCTGTAGTGACAGTATTGAGCAGGAAGCCAGTCTTTTCAGCAATTTCAGGGCTGATAAGCAAAATCAACTTAATTGTTAGCACTGGTAAGGCGTGGAGTACATTCAGTATTGCAGCTGAATACAAATTAGGATAAAATAATGAAGATAAGATTTCCCAGTGCATAAAAGAGCTTTTTTTCTACGAATAAAAGTGAATGCTGCCATTATTTTAAATATGGAATACCCTACAATGGACTAATGAGATAATTGGATAATTTGAAGCAATAATATTGCAGCTTTAAAACATTGCCAGCTTTTCTCAGTATCTTTATTTTTTCCTTGCTCTTTTGTAATGGAGTCATTTAAAGATCTGATTAGTTCTATATTCATTCCTTTTGTTTCCTTCTTTGCTTCTGTTAGGTGCAGATGGAGTTTCGGAAAAGCTGGGAGCGCTGGAGATTGGAACATTTGTATGTCCAGAGGGACAGCAGTATGAAACCTCTTAAGTGTCCGGCCAACAGCATCAGTAGTGGAGGCACGGTAGGCAGTAGTGTCTACGCTGCCACTTGCCAGGCCACATTCAGCTAGGATTTCTGCAGGTGAATCGGACTGAGAACAATTAACTGTGTAATATACCTGAAAACCCTTAAATACCCAAGCAAGTGGCTTAAGTATGCCATCTCCAGCAAGAAACTTAAGCATATGCTGCTCATTGCCTGCAGGCTATTGGATAAAGGTTTCCAGAGAAAGCAATCTGCTAATGTAATCAACACATCAGAGAAAAAAATTATCACGTCTAAAGTAAGTTAAAAGAGTTTCTTCCTATTTGTACACAAGGCCTCCAGGTGTCCGAAACTTAGCATAGCATTGATCCAGTCTGAAACCACAGGGTCAATGGCTCATTACTGTTGAGTGGGCAAGGTGAGTGATCAACTGATTAAATTACAAGGATACAGAATATGATTACTGCCAAAAAATACATTTAGACTTACATGGGGATGGGGTAAGGTGCTATCACTAGTTTTAGAAAAATAGAACTTAGTGGGATGCAACTCGCATTTTAGGGAAGAATCAGTTTTGTAGCAAGAGCTTCCCAAAGCTAAAGTTGAAAACAGTGCTTACCTGTTTCCTGAGTGGATGCAGAACAGCATCCTGAAGGGTCTACCAATACAGCAGGTAGCGTGGTGTACGTATCTGAATGCTCTTTTTAAGCTTTACTTGAAAACAAACAAACAAAACCATTATGTGGTAGGGGCCTCTTCTGCTATTAATAGGTGTGTTATCTCTGTTGACAAGGATGGAAGTATCCCCTGAATGCACAGCCCTTACGTTTTTATACAGTACTCTGCCGCTCCAGTTGGCTCGCAGGTGTTAACAGGGATGGGGTGATGACTTGTGCTTCAAGAGCACATTTTCTTCCTGAGCTATACTCTGCCCCGTGGGGGTGCAAACACACAGAAGTCAGCCTGTGGCCACAGCTGCTCTAAGGAGACGTCACCTACTTGGAGAAGAGTGGGCAGCGTGCAGCGTGGGCTCCCTTTAGCTTCTCTTCCAGGCAGGCAGGAGGAACCGCCCGGCGCGGCCCCCGCGGGAGGGTGGCAGGTTCAGCATGTTGGACAGCGCCCGGCTGCTGCGCTGCCTTCCTCCTCCTCCTCCTCCTCAGCCTGCCCGCCACCAGCGGGATTCAAAACATCCCCTCCTCCCCCCTCAAAAACCCCCACTATCCTAAACTCAATGGGCTTCTGTCTGTTTAAAACTGCGAGGGCTGTCGCGGTGAATGCATCCACCCTGCTCGTTACCTTGCCCTCCCCGAGGTTTACAAGCGTTGCTGGGGACACAGAGGTACCTTTGCAAGCAGGACGTGATCCATTGCATCACTTAATAACAAGCTTTACATGTCTTTACTCAGCGGGTATTTGTGCTCCCTTTACAACAAAGAGGCAAGGTGCCAAAGACTAGCTCTGCCAATATCCCTGTCCGTAGACTTCTTGTAGTAAGTAACTTCCATGGTATAGCAGACAGACTACTCAGCAGGTTTAAAAATACAACCAACCAACCAATTTTCAAGTCTCTCCTTGCACTTGCATTCATAGCTGCCATTGCCAGGAAAGTGGACTGGATATTCTGGGATGTAATTCAGCATCTTTCCTGCCTGAAGCTAGATTGCTTTGCATGGGATTATTCAATCACTGTGTTAGAATCCAAATTGCCAACAAGGTGGATTAGTTTTGCAATCATCAGGTTGGAATTGAATTAGAGAAGATGTGTTACCTTCTGCTATAATGCTTGTAATTGAGCTCCAGGGGGAGAAGTCAGACTTATCTGTAGAAATCCACCACAGTGCTCAGGCTGGCTCATGTACGTTTAGCACACTGGCTTCTACGCGGGCCACTTCCAGACCTCCCCCTTCTGACATCTGTTGCAGAGCTGACCTTGGAATGAAGCACCTCAGGTTCTCCTGTAAATTTAATAACTAGCTTCTATCCTGTGTGACCATCAATACAATACCCGACTACTACACGTGTATGTTAACTGCCGCCCTCCTACAATGTAATTAGCTTCCTGTACGTAGAGTATGCTTGATGTATCTAACATCTACCCTGAAGTGCTTTGAATAGGAAAAGACTGATAAAGTCAGTTACTGGTAGGTGAAAAGGCAGCATGACAACAGATGAAATTTACAGCTGTATGCTAATGCACACTGGAGGGAATAATTTCACTCATGAATATTCAAGAGTGTGTGCTAGTGTGCCGGGGCCCTGCTTAGCTGTGTGCAAACCTGGAAAAAACAACAGTTTCTGCTACTTGCATAGCTGTTAGCAAGATGATAGTTTTGCTGTGCAAAGGAAGTTACAGAAGTGTTTTAACTCACTATTATGCTGAGAAAAAAAAAAGTAGGTGTTAACAAAGAAAAGAGGACAGACATCGGAAGAGTATTGACATGTGTGGTAACAAACCTGTACTTAGTTGCTGTCACAAGATTTTTTTCAAGTCTGACATGCCTTTGAGTTACTAGGCTCTTCTTGTCCCTCTGATTCACTTAAGAGGCTCTGGGCCCACACAAATAGCTCCAGCACCAGATGTCAAACATACCTTTGTAACCTCTGCCTTGTTAGAATCCAAGAGAAAAATGAGATGATAAAGTGAGATATTAGCCAAGCAGAGGGTTATGGCGGAATGTGGGGGGCGGGGGTTTCCCCTCTTACTAAGCTCTCACTTCTTCAAACCTGTTTAAATCCCCTCTTAAGTACTGAGGGAATGACTCCGTGGAAATAACTGCCACCAAAGCAGAATTACAGTACTCTTTCAGCAAGGCCTAAACACCAATTTCTCCATCATACTTTATCTACTTCAGTAAAACCTTTTACAAGCCTTTGTTGTTATTCATGCCATCTCTATTTCAGAATTTATAACATGCATTTATTTGAGTAGCAAGAAATAAGCAAAGCGACACAAAGCACTGGAACAGATGAACTGTATGAATTTTTATTCTGCCTTTCAGCTTCATGCTCACTTACTGTGGTAACTTGTTTCATGAAGCATTAACTAGAAGAGTCTATAGATTCACCTGGACATAATGTAACTAGAGTTTATGGCAAATGAAAATTTTATTTCTAGCATTGCTGCTATAAAGTTTTATAATTTCATGGATGTTACCTTATATTTAATATTTATTTGCATGTATTTCCTTGTTTTAAAACACACCAACAGAATTTAACTGTGCAAGATGTCAGATTACCAGTTCCCCTTAAACATTACACTTAATTTTTATCCTTGTGAATAAAGTTTCAACTCACAAAATTCTGTCGCTTACTGGTGTATTTACTTTAAGTAGCACCTGACTACCTCTTACCCTGAAGTTAGAAGAACACTTTCTAAAAACAGTCCAGTTCATGGAAACACAGCTTTATCTTTTCAATTCTATGCCTACTACAAAAAGTCCTTTGAACCTGCAGAGGCTGTTAATCAAAACCAAAAGGCAGCATGTTATTTGTACAGACTCTGAAGGAATCAGTAAGAATTGTGAGAACTTGGAGGGGTTTTAGCAGAGGATCGTGGAATATGTGCAAATCCAAAAATTCTGTGCTAGGCTTTAAATAGCAGCATTTGAAATTTATACAAGCAAGTGCTGTGGAGAGCTATTGAGAGATGCTTAGCAGTGTTAAACATATTACTTGTGCTTTAATCTATCTTCTTTCCAGTCCAATTAAATTCATTAAATGACACTTCCTTTTGTTTCCCCAGCCAATGACAGAACAATGGGGTAAGTCAAGCCTGAACCACTGTGTGTAACTTAAATTAGAAAAGGCAGAAAGAACCAGGATTTGAAACACCAAGTTGTGACTTCTCAACTTATTCCTCAGCTCCATCAGCTGCTCTTCACTATGACTTAATGATTTGTTTTAATGCAATGATCTAGATACCAAAAATACCAGGGGATCGTATAAGAAGTACACCTGACAGTCTGTGGGATGAAGCATCATTAGTTGTGCTGTGGTAAAAGGACTGAATCCTTTTTGACAGGGCAAATCCCTGTCCCATCTGAGGGCCTTTTACGTTTCCACATCTGTTGCAAACTCACCTCAGATGTTTTCAAAATGATGGTTAAAGAAAGACATGTATTACCTGCCAGGAATAACAGTAAGTCTTTCTTGGTTACTTTACAAATGGTGAAAGCTGTAATATGAAGCAAATGGGGAACTTGCATTGAAAACTGATGTTTGTGTTAGATGAAAGACGTGTGTTTTAGGTACACCGATAGTGCCTCGTGTCTTTTCTTCAGAGAGAGGATTCTGGCCAGTGCTGGGAAGAAAAGTAGCTGGCCATTTCGCTAAAGGTGTCATCAAACCCCAGCCTTCCCGTTACCAGCGGCACAGGCCCTCAGGAGCTGGCACTCACCGGCTGACACGCTGCCGCCGGGCGAAAGCGGGAGCGGCTGCAACAGCAGCACAAGCAGCTGCCCGGTCCCCCAGGAAACCAGACCAGAGCCCACGCTTTGCTACGGCTTTATTGGCGACCGGACCGTGCCTGGGGAAACCGGAGCAGGAGTAAGGCGCCGGTGGCGTTTTGCATAGAAATAACCCCCTTCCAGCCCCTCCTGGGGTCCGTGGTACGAGGCGCGGGGGTAGCGGGGGCTGCCCCCGCCGCCGGGCCGGCCGCTAACTGCCGGCGGCGGGCCGGTAATGCAGCTCCCGCTCCAGCTGCTCGGCCGTCAGCGTCCCGGCGATGGCGGCGCAGCCGGGGTTGAAGACGGAGTAGGCGCTCAGCTCGCCCCGCCGCCGCTCGGCGGGGCCGCGGGTGCCCGCGTACATCCAGTAGAGCAGGGAGAGAACGAAGTACGGCAGCCCCAACTCCAGCTCCGCGAACAGCGCCCACAGCACCGCCCACAGCAGCACCTTCAGCAGCAGCGGGCGAGCCCACGCCGGAGCCGCCGCTGCCCCGCCGGGACGGGCCTGTGGAGGCGGCAGCGAGACGTGGCGGTCAGGCCCCGGTCCCGCCGCCACGCGCCCCCCGGCCCGCCCGCCTCTGCGCTCACCTGAGCGCCGCTGCCCGGGCCCGCCGCGGCGGCCTGCTGTCCCTCGGCGGCCTCCGGAACCGCGGCCTCTCCCGGCGGCTCTGCGGGGCGCGGCGAAGCCGCGGCGGCGGCAGCAGCAGCAGCGGAGGCGGCAGCAGCGGGGCTTTGGCGGGCGGCGCGGAAGAGGGCCAAGCGCCGCTCCACGGCGGCCGACATGGCCGCCCCGCGCCTGCGCCAGGGCGGGCGCGGCGGCCGCCCCGCGCCTGTGACGACGCGGCGAGGGGGCGGGGCCGAGGGGCGTCCCGCCCCCGCCCCCCCGAGATGGGGCAGCGGTGTCGGGACGGGCGGCGGGGCCCAGGGGGTGGCCGGGACCCCACAGCCCGAAGCTGAGGAGGCCCACAGAGGGTTGGGCCCCCCGCAGGGAGCCACAGCCACCCACCTCCTCCCCGCCTTTTGAAACCGAGAATTTAGTCTCAATAGCCGTAATAGCTATTAAGCATCTATTCTTTATCCCACGCGTGGGACGCATGGGGGATCATTCCTCCTAATATGCGTACCACTGTAGTGGAGTTTATGGTATTTATACACACTTCACTTACATATGCATATAATTTCCAAGGACTAATAACAACATTCATTACTTTTCCAATAAATCATTATAATATGTTGCTGCCTACTTCTGCATATGCACTACAGTCTCTAGGTGGTCTAGGACCTCCGGTGGTCGTTTACTTCATCATTCTCATCTTCATCACAGTGTCCTCTCTGTGAACCTGGTTCTGTCTTCCCCTTTCCCTTACAGCTGAGACCACAAAACCAGTTGCATCTGGTAGTTCTGCAGGCTTCAGCATCCTTCTTCCATTATCTCGTTTTTCTTAGATAGGAGTGTACCTAAATCACGTAAGCAGACAGACTCAAGACTCAAGCCTGTTAATCGCAGATAAAGTACACCTTATTCCTTCGTTAGGCAGACTCCTAAGCAGAACTATGAACAAAGTATTATTACATTAAGCAGTCCTGTAAACAGCTTGCTGCTACTGATAATTTGTAATTTTCCGTATCTCTTCCCTCTTCACTTTCCTTCTCCGAGTTGATAGCAGAGCCTGCCTTTCAGCTCTGGAGAAAAGCTGTAACTTAGCAAAGGCCTCCCCCTTTCGCTTTGTTTTGTTTTGTTTCCTTTTTTTTTTTTTTTTTTTTTCATATTTAAGCCTAAATGGCTAATATTGACGCTGAAAAGGAGAGGTAGAGAATAAAGCATGGGGTGACCAAAGCCTGCAGAGGGTGAATGAGACGTTAGCAGCTGGGCTCACTAGCAACATTTGAGCTAGGCTTTTGAGCGGCCATTTTAGAAAAGCGCTGAGCACCCTGGGAAGGGGCGACATGGAGGAAGAGGGCAGCGGTGCTGGGCACGGCCGGCGGGCCCTGCTCTCGGTGGGGCGAGGGGAGCCGGGGCTCACCCTGTGCCACCCTCTCCTGGCCACGGAGACCGCGCGGTGGGCTCCCTCCAACGCCGGCCCGCCGGCCTCACCGGCATCCCTTGGCACCGGTGTCTGCTGAAACCAGGTTGGGCAGTCCCACCCTCTCTTTGAACAAATTACTAGAATCGGGAAAACCATCGCTGCCACATCATCTTTCAGCTATCAGTACAGGCGAGAAATAGAAATTTATTTACAGGAGCCAGTTCTTAGCCTCAGGAGTAAAATATTTATCACTCCCCAGCAGTAATAGTTAGAAATGAGACATCATTTCATCCTGCAGTGCTGTTTCCAGTTACTTATAGCTTTCTCAGAAGTGACCTTTAGGGCTGAATATCTCATGCATGTGTCAACTCAGAAGTGAATATGAGAAGTCTAATAAAAATCAATTTGGGTGTTCTTAAGTTATCTTAATGTGGAAAAAATTGTGTTTTTTCCAGCTAAATCATTTTTCAAATGCCTATTTTATGCTTGGTTACAAAATAACTTTCTTTTAACCTTCCGACTTTGCGAGAAGTGCCACAGTAAATGACATTTTTCTCTTTATTTGTGGAAATTTGATTTTGAAATAACAGTCCAAAATGTTTTAAGATAGCCTGCACAGGACATTTTTTTTTTTTTTCTTCCTCTTGTACTACTGTTCATGAAACCATTTCCTTCAAGAAGTGCTGGGTAATTCCACATGTTCTGCGCTGTGTGCAATGTTAGTCCAACTAATAGTTATACCTGATCTTAATACCACCTTTGCAAGCTGCACCCAATGATTCACATGCTATTGGATTTTATTCAAAATGTATTGGTTTTAGTATGTATTTGCTATTGTGCATCCAAATAACTATTTTATGGCTGTGTCGGGCTACCTATATTGCCATGTGCTGTTAGGGAATGCGTAAGAGTGCCATGAATCATGCCTTTGAAGCCTGCATGCATTACAGTAACCTAATCTGTAAATGCATGTTACACTGCAGACAAATACCTGAACAAATTTGTGTCCATAAAGTCTTAAATGCCTTCAATACATCCTGTTTTTAAACGAACAGCTTTATTGAATAGACACTTAGTTTTGTTTGTTTAACAAACCATCTGGACAGTTTGTTCCCTACTGCAGTGCTTATGAAGGTCCTGGGCAGTTCACCAAGCCCAATTGTTGGATCCTCAGCCAGTGGTTGGGAGGGCATGGGGAGGCTGAAGAACGCTTCTCTGAGACTCTGGAGTTGCTCCATATCTTTCTCACGATATATGAGAAAAACAAATCAAATGTAGTCATTTTGTAGGTGTGAGACTATTAGCCAATACTTGTTCCCCTGTGCTGTAGCTAAGTAAATGGTTAATCAAGAATGTTGAGTGCTATTGATAGATTTCTAATGCTTCATTCTTGATAGCTGAACTTCTGGAACTGCCCATCAACTTTTAGAAGTCAGCATTAAGTTTGCTTTAAAAACGTGATTTTTTTAAAACTTGGTCTTAGCTAAATCGTAATTGTCATGACTATAATACAAAGGAGCCCACATGCATATTCCTCTCTGCCAGGAAGAAAACCTGTTGTTATTTATATATTTCCGCTTCAGCAATTTTGAAACCTTTTCCTTTATCCTAGTTATCAAATTTTCATTGTATTTTAATATTTATGATGCAGAAGACTCTTTGCATTCTGCTCTCAGCCAATTATCATTGGCTTAAGGGACTACTTCTGCAGTACTTGGGAACTTCCAAATCATTAGGAGCCTTGGCTATGGCACTCCCATCAGCAAGAGAACTGAAGGAGATGAAGTGGCAGCTGAAAGAATTGACAAAACAAGAAAACTGACATAGCCATGTCCAAAATGCAGTTGATTTTTTTGGGGGGCGGAGGGGGAGGAGAGGGAGGGCACTGCAGAATTTTTCTTAATTTTCAGGTGTCTCTGCTGTTTCATGCTCCTTACAGAAGCAAGAGAACTGAAATCTAATCTAGGGAAATACTTTTACATGACAGAAGGCATTAGAACTATTTGCATAAAATACCAACCCAACCGAGTTAAGGTAAGCACTGATAGCAACATTCAGATCCAGTGCCCCCCTTTGCATTTATCACATGAGCAGCCCATCGCCACATCTTGGTGTCAGCAATCTCTTCAATAGCACAGGCTCAGGGCCTTGCTCAGTGGTTTGGAGTGTTGTTGCTTACTTCCTACAGCTGCAGATATCTGTTCGTGCACACCAGCTTTTTCAGATATCAACAGTAATCAAGTCACATTAATTCTCTTGATGGATTAATCTAATTCATTGACAGGAGCTTTCTCCTTCATGAGATAAGCATACACACACACACACACACACACACTGACTAGCTAAGTGCCATAAATGCAGACAGAAGGGCAACCCATTATTAATATAATGACCTAGCTTAATTAGTTCAATGGAGCTGAGGGAGCATTAGCTTCAGTTGTTGAGGTCTTGGAGAACATGTATAAAATAGATTGAAGTGCACAGACTCACACTCGTCTAATTCCATATAGAGCTTTTTGCATATCCATTTACTCATCAGTTCTAAACTGCAGAGAAGAGCTGCTTCCTTTGTGAAAAACGGTCATTAATCTTCCTGCCTAAAATAGCAGCATGAGGGTACTTTACCTTTTAGACAGAGAGGAAATTTTTTGTCTTTTTATTGAAATAGTTTAGGTTCTGAATTGCAAATTTTCACATCTGTGGTTTCAAAACGAGCACATTTGTATATTCAGCAGTGCATGCTAAAAGGTGCTGAGATACTAGCACTTATGTTACTGCTTTATATTCTGAAATGCTTTATATTTCAACACATTAAAACATGGGCAAAGCAGAATTATTAATATTTCAGTCACAACTCTGAAACGCTCCTTATCATTTCATGGGAAACTACCATTTGAGGAAAGGAACACAGTAAATATCCCTCAGTAGTACAATGTCAGCTGTAAATGTCAGATATTTAGTGAAATCATTGTAACAGAAAAGAGAGACAAGCAGTTTTATTACACTTAGAAGATAACGCCCAATAAGCATTCTAGCTGGGGTTGTCTTGCCATGTTCATAACTTTGAATTGATTCAAAAGTCAAAGTTTTGAAAACTGTTCTAAAACTTCAAAAGATCAGAATACTGCCTTTTGATTTTTAACATACAGATAGGGTGAGAAAAAAAATGCATCTGCCACCTGAAATT